CCTAAACGAAAATTAAATATTGTATAATAAATTAGCCCATAAAAAAAGGGTTGCAGGAGCATATATTTCATATATATGTTCTTCCCATTATGCATGTAATGCCCCTTCATCTGTCCCCATCCCAAAATGTACGAGATTTACTACCTAAATGAACAGGAAGAATTCGAAAAGTCGAAAGAAAATGACGAAATTCACAGTTCCCTGATTTTAAAAAACCGTTGTGTTAATGTGGAGAAAAAAAAAAAACTGGTTGGGGAAAATACTTACGAAGGGGGATACACCATCTGGGAATGCACGTGGGAGATGCTGAAATTTCTACACAGAGAGGGGATCGACTTTAAGAGTAAGAATGTCCTAGAGCTAGGTAGGCGAGAGGAATGCGTGGCAAATGTCGTGGGTGAGTGCTTGAGCTGAGGCGTACGTCTGCGACATACTGTTTGCCGTGCCTTCCACTGTTCACCACGGTAGACTGGGCCGCTTCCACCCCGTTAACGCTTCCACTCTGTTAACGCTTCCACCCCCCCCTTTACATCCCTCTCTAAGGCTGTGGACACGGCCTGGTCGGCATAAAGGTCCTCCTGGACCAAGGAAACGTCGTCTTCCAGGAACTGAACAAAGAAGTCATAAACGACGTGCTGCTACCAAACATAAGAAAAAATTTAAACATAAAAATGAAGAGAAAAAAACTCAAGGGGAAAAAAAACTACATGAAAATACATAGCCAAATTTTCAAATGCAGCATTATTAATAAACCCTGGAAGAAGCTCAATAAAAAAATTAGGAAGAAAAAATTGAACCCATTTCATTTTATCATAGGAAATGAAATATTATATAGAAAGGAGAATTATTATCACATTTTAAAAACCCTGAAGCAGAACATGGCGTATAATGGAAAGGCGTACTTGGGCACTAAGTCATATTACTTCGGCTTTGAAGACGAGGGGGCTGGCACGAATAGCTTCCTTGACTATGTGAATAACAATGAGCATTTCAACTTTTGCGCTCGAGTTGTTCAGACCAATTCAGACAGGTCCGTTTATTCCAAGGACATCATAGAGGTGACCTTCTCCGACGTGGCCCAATTGTCGCGCGAGATGGAAGAAATAGATCTGCAGGGCATCTGAAGGGGTCGACAGGAGGGGCTTTCCTAAGGGCACGTTGCGTTGCCGTGATGTTGCGTTGCCGTCATATTGCGCTTCGCCCATTACGTGAGCTTTTTGCTCATCAGATGAACCATTTTTCACGTGAACCTCTTTTCATGGGAGCCTTTTTTCACCTCAACTTCCCTCACACCTTTCGCGCCCCGAACGGGGACCGCCCAACATGGGCCTAACTTTTTAAAACATTAAAAAAGGAAACCGTTTTGTTTAAAATGTTTAAATGGGTAGTGGTACCGTCTGGGTAGTGGTACGGTCTGGGTGCATAGAATGCTACGCAGCATAATAAATGGGAAAGGCAAAAATGGAGCACACCCCGAGCCGGCGTATGTCTTTCTCCCTCCATATAGCATAGCAGGAGCGAATGGGGAGTGGAAAAGAAAAAAATTAACATAAAATTAGGGTAAAATTAAGGTAGAATTCAGGTAAAATTATGGTAAAATTGGGATAAAATTAAGATGAAGTTAGATAAAATTTAAAAATATTTCACAAATAGTTTAAATGTTAACAATAATGAGAAAATGTGAAAAACGTGTTAGACGTGTATTCTACTACTGGAGCGCAGAGGAATTCATCCTCGTGGCGCTGCTCTGCAGGGGGACACACTTTTGTGTACGCTATTCGTGCACTGCAACTGGACACGCGCGCTAACAACGCTGTTGCGCTGGAACATAGACTTATGATGCACGCAATGTTTTCGTCTTCAAACGATTTTGAAAAATGAATACAAATGTTACGCAATCGTGGTGCAGACGTGCGAGCGAACGGGCGGACGAACGCACGGACGGTTGGACGCTTTTGTGTTGATAAATTCCCATTAAAATCATATGAGCTGTGCAAAGGAGCAGAGGTGCAAACGTGCAAATGTGCAGGCGTACAAACCTGCAGCCGTAACCGCATACACGTAGCGACAACCGCACACCCGTGCACACCTTGCGGACGTTGCACATGGGATGAAAAAAACGGGAGAAAGAGAATCCTCCGCTGGTAAAATTAACAAAGAGGCTGGCACATGTGCACATGGGGGGCAAAAGGAGTACACAAATGAGATGCACGCAAGGGGGTGAACGAGCATGGGAACGTACCCACGTACGTACGTACACACGCACGCAGGCACATAGGGGGGGAGAGTGCCTATCAAATGAAAGGGAAGCTTTAATTTGTTGCATAAATAAGACGCACATATTAGAAGCACACGCACGTACTATAAACACAGAAATGTGTACAGATATAATAAGCTACACAGATGGGCTCATTTAAAAGGTTAAGACGAGAGTGGAGAGTAATGACGACGTGCGTGTTTTCACTTATGGGCATTTAAAAAAAAAAAAAAGAAAAAGAAAGGTCATGTCATTCATCCTGCTCACATCGGTTGGGGGGTCTACCTGAGCGTGAGCGCAAGTCTACATAGGTACACGTATATGCAAATTCTGGTACCTGTGCGCACAAATGTGGTATGGCAAAAAAAAGGAAAAAAAAAATGGTAGATCCCGTCCCTTAATCACATAATTTGGTCTGAAAAAGTGAATGAAAACAATACGGTTAAAAGTCATAGAAGGTATATGCAATTTTACCTCGGTGTGCGCTGTTTATTTGAAGAAGCCTTTCCGTTTTCACATGCACCACGGTAACATTTGCTTTCATGAACGGGGAAGGGGGTGAGGTTTCTTCTTCTTGTTCCTCTCCTCTCTGTACATACAGATGAACACACCTTTTAAACTTTTTTTTTTTCTTTTTTTTAAATAGCGCCTTTATCAGGCACGGTCACTTCATATTACGGGAAAAACACTTGCAGGAACTTTTTCTGACGCTGCTACGCACCTTTTCCCACGCTGCTGGTCTTGAAGGTGCAATTCGCACTCCTGTTTCTGTCTTCGTAGTACACCGGAGCGCGCTTGCTTGCGATGTCCTGCGCGCTCGAAACGATTTTGCTGCTGCAGCTGGTGCTACTACTACCGCTGCTGCTGTTGTCACTGCTACCCCTGCTACCGCTCTTTCCGCTGCTCTCATTGTCCAGGTTGGCATTACGCGTGTTGCAGCACATCTTCTCACGACAAGCCTCCACATCCGCATCTCTATCCCCATCGTTCCTCGCTTCGAAGTTAAACATGGGCTTGCTGCAATTATTCGCACCCGTATAATCATTAAAAACGTACATGTCGCTGAGGTATTGATCTAAAAGTTGATCGTTTTCCTCGGAGAGTCCTTCTTCCTGGAACAGCCTTTTGTCACCGCTGCCGCGGTTCGGGTGGTGATTGCCACTGCCGCTGTCCGGGTGGTGATTGCCACTGCCGCTGTCCGGGTGGTGATTGCCACTGCCACTGTCCCGGTTGTTATTACCACTGCCGTTGTTGCCACTCTTCTTATTTTCATCCGCGGCATAGGCGTCGAGGCGGTCATAAAAGCTAGAACTGAAGTGACCCGCGCTGAAAAAATCGGGGGGGTCATAATGCACCATCGGGTCATAGTCTTCCTGGAAGTAGGACATGGCGTTGTACTTATGGACTTCTTTCCCCGCTTCGTCCTGCATCGCTTCTCTATCCAACTGATCTGGGATCTGTCCTTCCATCTCCTCCTCATATTGCATCTCGTTTTTCTTGTTCTTCGAGAGGAGGTCCATAAAGGAGTATTCTAGAAGGTTCTTGTCCGATTGTTGGTCAACCTTTGGGTTCAGAATTTCATACAGATGCATGTTTTCCTTTCTAATACACTCGTCGATGTTTAGTGAGTTTTTATTTGGGTATGTGTTTTGGAAGGAGAAGAAGAGCTGCATGTTTCTGGAGTAGTTGGACGGGTCTTCGCCGCTTCCCGTATTGCCGCTACTTCCAACGACCGCGTCGCCCAACCCCTCGTGATCAAAACTAAGATAAAAGTTCTCGTCACTTTGGCTTGCTCCGTCCACTTCTTCGCACTCCTTTTCCCTATACTGCCAATCGGTTGCATTTGCATTTCTATTTCCATTTCCATGCAGATGGGGATGGCCTCTTCTGTCCATTTGAGCATCCCCCTTCTCCTCTTCGGCGAGGAGGGCCTCTTCCACTTCCGCGTTACACATCGCTTCGTTTCGCACGCCACAATTGTCCTTCCCAATAGAACTGACGGCATGGTTGTTTGCACCGCTGCAGGGGGAATTACTGGATTCGTCCGACTCTCCTTTGTTCGCCTTGTTATGCAAATCCTTATAAGAGCTACTGTAAGCACCATTGCAACCGGCACTTGGACTGCAGGGGGCACTTGAGCCGCTCTGCCCATTGTCGTACCAGATATGATTTAGAAAGGATGTTATGTTGCCGTTTTCGCCGCCCAGCTGCGTTCTGCCCTTCCCACTTCTAAGTGACTCTCCGAGGGGCGCAAAGCTGTTCCAGTTTGATTTCCACTTGGCATTCAAGTTGCCGTCCCAGTTACCGTCCCATTTACCGTCCCACTTCGCATTGCAGTTGCCGTCCCATTTCCTCCCGTCCCCCTTCTTCCCATTCCACTTTCCGCTGCCCCCCCCGTCGACGCTACACTCTCCCGTCGTACCATTCGCAAACATCTGACTGTTCATCTGACTGTTCGTCTGACTGTTCATCTGAGTGCTCATGTTCGAACCCGTCCTCCCCTCCACACTCGGATTGCAGAACATGTTTCTCCCCTGATGCGTATAAATCTTATTCTTCAGATGATTCAATCGGGAGAGCTGCACTTTGTCGGCACTTGTGTCCTCCCCAAATCGGCCACATTCGGACCAACCGGTCGAATTGCCATTTATTGGAAATTTCTGTCCTCCTAGTCTGTTCGTGTGATAATACACTTTACTGTTTACTCCTCTTCCCTTTGGTTCCGTCGGTATTTGAAACGTTCGCCTCATGCCCCAGGAGCAAAGCTCTCCTCTGTCCGTCTCCCTGTCGTTGGTATCAACACGTTCATTAAGGACGCAGTCAAAACGATCATCTGAATAGTCATACGTTGTAGTTTCATTCTTAGGATTCATTTTGACTGATGCACCTTCCACGTTATGGGGGTATTTACTCATTCCTGAGTACTCGATGGGGCTTCCACTCTCGGGTTGGCGGCCTACACTCTCGGGCTGACTTCCATTCTCATCGCTAATCAGGCATCCGATGACGCTCCTACGTGTACCCCCAGAAGGGGTCCCACTTTCGCCCTTCTGACTATAATACAAACGGCCGCTGCTACTCGCACCGGTGCCTCGAAAGACATCCGCTACGTCGCTCGTCTTAGGTAAAGCGCTGAGCGGTTCCACTGGGTACGCAGAAGGAACCCCGTTAACCGCGTTAACGCCGCTAATCCCGTTAACCCCGCTAACAGCGCTACCCTCGTTAACGGCGTCGTTTGCTAGGATGCTGGAATGCTGAAAGCTGTGCATGTAATTATTCACTCTCTTCCTTGCCGTGTGATATTTACTGTAATAGTTGTCTGACAAATGTTTGACGAACCTTCCGTGTGAGTTCCTCAATGGCATGGTGTTGCTACCTACGTCATTTGGTAGCAGCTCCACTGGGGAGATCGGGTCCGGTGTCGAAATGTGTTCCATGAGGTTGTCCCTGCCGTTACACAAGGGTTCTTCCACCATCATGTTACTGCTCATCAGGTTATTGCTCATCATGTTCTTGCCCGTCAGGAAGTTGGCGCCCTGACTGCTGCCGCTGCAGTTGGCACTGCCTCCGTTGGCACTTCCTCCATTCGCGCTGCTGCCACTGCTAGGGAAGTTACTTATCGGTTTCTTCGCCGCATCTACAGAATTGATCGAGTTGAGCGTCTTGAGTGTGTCGGTGGTGCTCACGAGGCTCTGCGCCGTCTTGCTGCTGTCCGGGTCTTTTGCGTTACTTTGGTTCGCCTGGTGGTCCGCCTGGTCATCAGCCTGGCCCTTCACCTGCCCGTTCACCTGCTCGTCCAAGTTAGGGTTGACGTGGAAGTTCAAATTAGGGTTCATGCTGAGATTAGCCTGGATGTTCACATTGCTGTTCAGGTTCATGTTCATGCTAAGGTTAGGGTTGGGTGCCACGTTTGGGTTTCCTCCCACGTTGGGGTTTCCTCCCATGTTTGGGTTTCCTGCCACGCCGACGCTGTAGATGCCCCTCAACTTTGGCGGCAACAGATGCTCCTCGCCATTTTTCAGCTGCACTTTGAGGAGCTTCCCATGGATATACATCTTTGACAGTTCCTCAAATGCCTCAATGGCAGACTTCTTATTATCGTATGACACAAAACCGAAGCCTCTATTCCCCTGTTTCTTATCATGCTCATTGTTTAGGTATGGGATCCTGAGACCCACCACGTGACCATATTTATTAACCAATTGAATCAGGTTCAGCTCGGTCCACTTGAGGGGGATTCCATACAGGAAGAGATTTGCGCCTGTAAGAGGGGGTAAAGAAGGCGGAAAAAAAAGGGAGAAAATCGTGAGAAAGGGAGAAAATAATCAGGGAAATGGTTAAGGGGATGATTAACACGATGGGGGGAGCTAAAAAAAAAGAAAAAAAAACAGAAACGGCAGATCAAGACGGAGGCGAAATAATCGCCGCGTAGAAACCACCGCAAACTCGCTGATTCGCAAATTCGCTGATTCACAAATTCGCCGCGTTTTACCAGGAGGGCCGTCCTTCAGGAGGGAAAAATTAGCCTTGCTGTAGTGAAGGGTATTCTGGTTCGGAATCTGCTTCGAAACGATGAAGCAGATCAACTTGTGATTGGGAGAGTTGTCGAAAAATTTCTTCTGATTCAGAATGTTCACTGCATTTATTGCACACTTCTCGTCAACAAAGTAGACAAATGCATAGGACCACTTATCGATAGACCATTTGTACTCAATGTGTATTATGTAGCCAAAGATTTCCAACACGTTTTTTATCCTCTCTTCTGTTATGTTCGGTGGGATGTTTCCCAAAAAGACATTCGTGATGACGATATTTCTGAAATTATAATTTGATTTGCTTCTTCTGATGTCTTTAAAAATCTGACTGTTAATATTATTTTGTCTCACTTTCTCGTTGTTCGCTTTGTAGTCCTTGTACTCCTTGTACTCCTTGGAGTAAATGGGTCCGTTGCCACTCAGGTCATGCGGTTTGTGGGCAATCATTGCTCTCTGGAATGTCTGCTCCTTCTCCACTGGTTCGTCGTCCACCTGTCCCAATGCAGGATGATCTGTCCGTTCTGAGAGGTCTCCTTCGTTCCTCCGGTTCACCGTCTCGACTCTTCCCACCGTCCCCATCGTCTCCATCTCCCCCGCGTAATTTGCACTGTGGAATATATGATGATGTGTAGCGACCTTCGAATCATGATCTGCGCTATGCAAACTGGTGCCATGCAGATTCGCAAAAATCTCGGGTTCGCCCTTTCTCGGGCCGTCTTCAAAGAGTGCCACATCTGATAACGTCTCCACGTTGCCACGAAGCAGCTTTGAATCTTCCCCGTTAGCAACGTGACTGTAACTTTTGGGGGCTGCGGAAGAGTCGAGCTCGAACCTCTTTTTCGCGTTCTTCAAATCGACGACGCCGGGAGGAGTTGAAACGTCGCGGCTAAGGCGGCGGCTGAGGCAGCGGTTGAGGCCGCCGGTATGATCATAACCATGGCCATAGCTATTATCGCAGAGGTGATTGTACGTTTGACCGTTGGTGTGATGGTAGTTTTGTCCGTTGCTATTACCGTACCTTTGACCGTACCTCTTATCGTAGCTGTGACCCGGCGCAAACCTAAACTTGTTCTCCCTCCTGCTGTGGTAATAATCGGGGGTGCCAAAATTGTGGCTAACTCCCTTTCTTTCATCGGAAAGGAATAAATGACTGTTACTTTCGGCATCATCCATCGAAATTGCGGTTCGCGAATCCATGTCTCGGTGTTGATTTATTTGGAGCTCTTTCGTGGCTAGCCCGGGGTTATCAGATGCAAAGCTGTTCTTCTCGGCGCTCTCCCCGCGTCTGCGCCTACAAGGTTGGAAATGTTATGAACTAAATTTTCCCTAGTTTTCGCTCAAGTGCCTTTTTTGTTAGCTCGATTTTCATCCTTATCTTGATGGCTCTTCATAAACGGGGTGGGTTACCATTTGCTAGACGGAGGAGCCTAGGGCAGAGCCGCAATACGTAACAGCACAGAGTTATCACTCTTTCACGGGGAAGATGTTAAACGTATGCGAGATGCTTTCACGTTCTGTGATCAGCGCGAGGTAGCGAAAAAAAAATGCATTAAAAGAGAAGACACATGGGTTTTCTTTTTTCTGAGAGTATGCTTGAAGGGAAAAGAAAAGTTGCCCCAATTGTTGCAAATATGTTATGCAGGTGTGCATCTAGGGGGTGGCTCTACGGGGTGGCTCTACGGAGTGCCTCTACGGGGTGCATATACGAAGTGCATTCCCGCTGCTCTGCTAAGTCGTCTTGGAGATCTTCATGGGAGATGGCTTCTACCGGTGGGAATCTCCACTGCGCATTTCCACTGCGCGGTGTACATGACTGACTGTGCTACATGCAGCGAGCAAGTTAATTCTCTAACTCTCTGCAACTGCTCTTAAGTGTTCACAAATTTTAGGTAAGGGGAGGGATACAGGGAGGAATAGGGCGAAGAAGAAAAGTAGACATTACGCAAATAAATCACTACAATGGTGCGATAGTAACATAATGAGACTCTCCCTAGTGATTGCCCTCCTTCTGGTTCACGGCTGTTCTCCCAAATGTACGGTGTACGCGTCAGAAATGGGTCAATGCGCAAGTACACACATACGTATCGACACATGCATAAATGTAATACAAACTTGCTATGCTGCAGAAGCACAAAAACCGTTCGTTGCACACCCCTTCACGTTTGGAAGTTTCATGAAAGGGGTATATACTTAGTTACAGAGAATCCATTGGTATAAATGGTCCTTCTAATAAGGTGCAGACGGAGGAGGGAGGAAAAAAATATACACACAAATAGTCATGCATATGCGCAACGAATAAACATATCGTACGGGTTAGATACACCCTACACACACACACAGGTGCATGCATAATCGTACATACGAAAAGTTACACACACACGTGCTCGTACAAACATATTATGTGGCGGTGATGCTGATTCTGAGGAGGGGAAAAATACTCACAAATTGTGCGTTAACACAGTCTGGGGAAATGGGAAGAAGAAGAAGAAGAAAAAAAAAAGACACAGAGGCCATTAGAAGCAGGAATAGCTACACATGTGGGGAATGAAAAAATGCAACGCATGAAAACATGGTTTATTGTTTCGCATGAATTAGTAATAAAAAAAAACTTGCAGACAGGAACAAACGCAAGCGTGCCTCACATCTATGCAAACGGACAGCCGAACGCAGTGAATTTACATTCGTTGGTGCGTTATGAGACCTGTTCTGGGGGGCGGTATCGGATTCCACAGCTGCGCCAGAACGTACAGGGGAATACACATAAGGATATATACGTGTATATATGTATGCATATGCACTCACGTACACCCAGGCATGTTGCTACGTATGTGCGCCCTCACAATTATCGTGGCGAATGCACCATAGGAAAGAAGAAAAAAAAATCAATAAACATGATGAATGCTTATTTCTCGTGTTGAGCCCCGCGTACCTCATACGACTGCCTGTGCTCGGCTGGTTACTCACTGGAGAGTTTTCCGAGTTGTTTGAGTTGTTCGAGTTGTTCGAGTTGTCCGCATTGCATTTTGACGTGCAGCACGTGGGTGGCGCGGGCACGAGACGGGAGGGGGAGAAAAAAGCTATGCAGAATGGGCTACGCAAGAGAGGCTAGACAAAATAGGCTATGCAACATGTGCTATGCAAAGGAGTTATATCCAAAAATAAGCCTACCCTTTTACGCTTCCAAGAAACAAAATGGGTGACAAAAAAGGGGCAACGAAATAAATGCGTATCGTTAGGGATACACACATCTGACGTTTTTATAATAAACCCTCAAAGTGAACAAAAGGGTTGTTGCAAAAGAGTAGGGGTGTGAAAATTGGGATAGCTATCAATGAAAACACAAATGCTAACACGCCATCTGGTCAACGGAGACCAAGATGGGTATGCACTGGCGTCTCGGAATAAACGAATGGGCACGCTTACTGACGCGGAGCAACAAATGTAAAGAGGGGGGAAGGGGGAGATGGCGATGGGCCAACATATATTTGCATGTATTATCATGCGTCAACCTCTGTGAACCTCTGTTAACCTCTGTTAACCTCTGTTAACATGTGGTGGCAGGACCGACGTTTGGCAGCGCGGTCGACGTGGGCTCACTGAGGCTAACATGTATTATCATGTACCCACAGGGGTCTCGGCACACGCATACACGTATCAAGAGGTACCCCCATGTGCTCAGATATTCGCACAGGTAGCCACATATCTACGTATGCTACTGTACACGGTTATGCAGTTAAATGAATACATAGAAGGGGAAGAAAGGGGGGCAATAAAATATCATCCCTTCACCTATACATGCATATGTGAAGTGTATACATGTATATGAATTGCTTTCCCCTCTCGGGTGTTAACTTATGCGTTTTGGAGGTGAAATGGGAATGTGGAAAAATGCGCAAGAAGGGGAGAAAAAAAAGGGGGAAAAAAAAGGAGAAGAGATGTGGGGAAGGAGGGTGCAAAAAATGGGGGTGAAAAATGGGCTGGAAAAATGGGAGGGAAAATGGGGGAAAAAAAAAGATAAAAAAAAGGGCTCGTATTTGTACACGTAATAAATGCAACAGAATAAAAATACGTATAGCGAAGCAAACTAAACAAAGAAAAAAATTGCAAATCGGAAATAACAAATAAAATGAGTGTGCTAAGGTTTACACAAACAGCCTTTCGATTTTATGTCGCGCTTCTAAATCGATTCAGTCGTTTTGTATAATGCAAGTGCGTACGCGCATGTATGCATATGTATACGTGCCTATGTAAAAATGCGTATAGCAGGTATGTGTTTGTGTGGGAACGAAATGAACACGCTCATGTACACTTAGGGAGCAAATAGTCCATGGTATATTTTCCTTTTTGCACTCAACAGTGGGGGGTGGGAAAAAAGGGGAAAAAAAGGGGAAAAAGAAAAGGAAAGAAGAGGAAAGAAGCAGAAAAGGAACAGGAAAAAGTTGTGCGTTTACAAATATGCAAACGCTGATGAACCATCAAGTATAAAGCGCACAACAACCTGATTCCACGTTTAAGCAGGGCATTCTCGCGCACTGTACGGGGGAGCAAGAAGTGTCCGAGCTGCTCGCATAACCTCCAGCAATAACCGTTTTGGAGAAGGCGCACAGGCGTGTACATATATAATATACGTAAATTTATATATTTGTATATCATCATATGTATGCGCGCGCTTCTGCATTACGTGAATGTATTCTCTGTACACGAAACACATCCGTGCGCACGGATACACAAATTAGCAGGGGCATGTACATCCGTATAAGTAACCTAACCATGTGCGTACTGTGCGAACATACACGCACGCGCATACGCACAACGAATGTACTTGTAAGAAAATACACTCATTCACAAACAGGGGGGGGGGTTTAAAAAGGTAGAATGAATGTACACTCAAAGGAGAACTTATTTGTAGAGAGAAATAAATTTCTCATTACGTATACCTTTTTTATATACATTTGTAGAAGAAGAAGAAGAAAATTATCTTTCGCGAGAAAAAGAAAAGTTACTGGTGGTTTGACATTACGTTCTGGCGAGCTTTTTTTTTTTTTTTTTTCTTGTCATATTTTTAGTTTCTTTTTATTTATTTTATTTTAATTAATTAATTATTTTTTTTTTGCGCTTCGCTTTTTACATTTTCTTGCTTAGATGAAAATGCAGATAAAAGGAGCAGATGGTTTCAAGTGTGCCTACATGGGTGTGAAGAAACAGAAAAGAATAATTCACATTTAACATGTTAAGACACACTTTGTGCTTGAGGGCGGCGGGTCATTTGGCGCGTTCCCATATGTATACATATATATATGTACATAAATGTATGCATGTATGAGCTGTGCGTACTAGGTATGTTTTTTTTGCAAAGCGGCAATGTACACTCAGTCAACATCGGTTTCGCAACACGGCGTGGTGAAATATGTGGTTGAAGAAAAAGTGCTCATAAAAAAAAAAAAAGGAAGAAAAAAGAAAAATGCATTATTGAACGGTGCTTCGTATTACACGTTGTCAATTGAGGTGCCCCTTGCAAAAACATGCACTTAAAACCGAATTGTATGACAAGCTTCTCCTGCTGTAATGACTGCCACCTAGGGACTATCCATTTTTTTTTTTTTTTTTTTTTTTTTTTTT